CCCCAAAACCCCAAAACCCCAAAACCCCAATTAACGTGAGGCCTGTTGAAAATGATATTATGTGAATTTTGGATTTTATTTATTGCTCTTAGAGTTTTAAGCACATTCTTAGTGAGGAGGTTAAGTCTGTCTTCGTTAAGATTTTTGCTTTGTATGAGATTTTAGAAGAGTTTACGATCAACTTTGTTTCCCTTTCCTTTCACATCTTGTATTATTAAATCCAAATTGATGAAACCTAGGTATAGTAACTTTTATGGAAGATTTTAAATAGTCTAAACTTCTTTATCCTTCCTTTGATAATATTTATGAGCTGAGACTTGCTAGACAAGGCTACCTTTAAAGTTGCTAAAAATAGCATAAATTTTGTGAAAGATGAAAAATATTGATTTGATCTACTTATTATTAAAAAATCACTAAATTTTACATAATTGTTTGAATATGAGATGTTGATTTTAGTAAAAATGTGCATGAAACTGGCGACTGATCAAATATTCAACCTCAACTTGTTTTCTTGGAATAATGTTACCAGATTACTACTTATCTGTTCACTGTTTTACAACAGGGATACTCTGCAATGTCTCTCTTTATTGAGGGTTATAATAATTTTGGAGAAGGCTGATAGAGTATTTTCTATAAATCTTCACTTTAAACTAAATATAAATTCTTGGTTAAAATGTGGACATTCATCAACATGGTTTAGAAATAGAGGGAGAGAAAAGAATAACTTATTGAGAGACATATTGTTTTGAAGTTTTCATCCCTCACGCTAGGCTTTTATCTGGTCTATCTAGTCTTTTATCTCAACAAGAGTGGTATAGTTTAAGAAAACCTGGTAAATTTTCGATATTCTCAATATTTTACCAGAAATCATAGATTACTTTTTGTACTGTTAATGCAAAAATTAATAACTTGGGTTTAACATAATGGGCTCGGCTAAAAAAGAAACCCTATATTAAGAAGCTTAGCCTTAGGCAGAGTAAACAGTGACTGGCTTTATCAGGTATTAATGAGACTACTCTCTTTCCAGTTTGGACAAGCAGATGAAACTCTTCTTGTATAGAGCTCTCTTGTGTCTACTAGTCGTACAAAATGATGAGATCATCTCTCGGTATCACCAGTGTAATCATTTTCGACCAATGTTTCTCAGCAAAAATTATACGGTAAAAGAATTTCATATCTTGAAACTATTCATGTGAAATTATTTTAGATCAGATTCATAAAAGCCGGTTGACATGTGCAATCTATAGCTCTGATTATCGCGAGCAGGAATAGCTGGTAAGGGCATTTAAGTATCAAGCTTACTTCCTAGGCATTAAAATCTCTCTAGCTTGTACTATAGCATTAGTATCGTATACTGGCTGAACTAGGGTCGTGTATTATAAATGGCAAGAGAAGCAGCCATAAAAATATTCCAACAGCTTGGAGATGTATGTCAGCATATTAGTATCCTGATGGGGGAAGGTATTATAAGTAGTAAGTCTAGAACTCCCTAGTCGTACAGTTAGTGCAATTCCGTTGATTTAAACGCAAGGAAAGTTTACCATTTCTAAAAGAATAATATACCAGATGAGAGCAATACTATTCGAGTAAACTGCAGTTAATTGGCTTCATAATCCATCAGATTTAATTTAAGACATCTTACTCTGAAAGTTTAATACTCAGGCTATTATGATTTTATGGAGAAGTCAATGGAATTCACGAATAATTAACTTTCGAAAATTCATAAAAATTAAAAAACTTCATAAAAACTCAAGTGGGTTATAAATATATCGAAATTATCGAAGAAGGCTACAAAAATGTGTAGTCTGGTTAACTTCTAACATCTCCAAATTGATTTCAGCCTCCTACTGAGCAGTCTCAGTTATTGGAGGAATAAATTGAGGCATCTATAGATAAAAAACCTGATGAGGAACTACTTTTCGTCGGCTTGTATCATCTTGGAACATTGAGTTTCATTTTAGATGAATCTGGACCTAAAAGAGAGGCAGCTTATGTTCCAAGAGCAAAAGTAAGCTATTGTATTGATAGAATATTGGCTTAATAGTACATTGTACGCTCAAGAGAAATGAGAGATATTAGAAGCTAACAGCTTCTTATATCAGAAATTTCAACACATTCTTAAGTCTTTTAAATTTTTATGAATAACTTAGGATAAAACTTGCAATTTAGAACGATGCAGAGATGGTGTTTAAACCGGGCATCCCTTGTGCTATCAGTAACTTTGTAGCATCCACATTGACTTCGTTCTTGCTTTCTTCTTGGTTTAGGATATTTTCTGCACTTGGCTGTGTGGTCTTGAGACACTTCATCATAGGTACTACGTATGGGGATTCCTTAGCAGTGCAGGATTCTGTAATATCACAAGAAGAGATTCAAGAGTCTGAACTTTTTCTTGCTACCTCAGGGAAACTAAGATAGGTTGTTCATGGATTATAAAATCAATTCAGGGATGGGCCCGTACAGTAATCAGCACTGAACAGCTGAGTAAATAGGTTGACTTGGAACTCACTAATACCGTCTATCAATGAATCTAGATTCCTGTTGACTTTTGAGAACTCCAGAGACTTGGTAGGAACAACAGGATCATACGAGTATACAATACTATAGTTCTGAGTTGAAACTATTCCAGACGAAGTGACATCTCCATCTTGGTTCTTTTTCTGTTCTGAGCCAGTAGGGTTAGAATGCATCTCTCTTGACAATTCTTCTATCATCTCCATGTGCTCACCTCCCTTCTTTGGGTCAAACAGACAGGGCTGAATAACGAGGACAGTTCCGTCGTGCTTTGTGATCACTTTATTGTTTTTGATAGCGATCTGATAAAATTGGGTTCCACTGGCAAATTGGGACGAAGTTAGGATGCTTGCTGTGTGGCTTGGGAACTTAGCCTTGTGCTTACTTCTCTGCTCATAATTGAGTATCATCCAACAAGCTGTGCAGAGTACTTCTCTGTTTGACTTCTTCTTGATGGCTACAATCTTCTTAACGTAATCATTCCATTCAGAACTAGGTTTTTTTAACATCGGTTTCTTATGGTCTTTATTATTAAAGTTTATTAATTTCTACTTTCCCAATATTTATGCAAAATGTTGGGGTTTTGGGGTTTTGGGGTTTTGGGGTTTTGGGGTTTTGGGG